GCCCTTTACTTCAATTGCTGAACTATTTTATAATTATTGGAACACTCGAATTTGTGGGACTGTAGGAGCAAACAAATCCTTCCAAACATTCATGGATTTAGAGCCAAGATCATCGCTAAATATGAAACAGAAGAAAAAATCAGCAACAAAGAATTTTTTAAAAGTAAGTGGATACTGACGCCTTATTTAAGTTAACTGTATTAACTCCGTATTATTTCATTGCCCTACGGCGACCAAAAATACGTCTGCGTTCCCAGGCTACTTTTGAAGAGGCTCTTTCAAAGCTCCAAAATGCCTGATTGGTCAGTTAAATCTCGTAACCGACCTGGATTAAGTTCGGGTATATCTGACAGAACACGTCTAAGTTTTCAGCTCCATTTTTCTCGGAAATATTAGAAAGCCAAGTTAAGGATAATTAGAAAAAATGAATTCAGGCTTAAAATAAACTTTGAATAAACACGCAATTTTATTTTGCGTCTACTTTGAAATCAGTTCATAATTTAATTTGAGTGTTTAATTTATGGGACGACGACGTTATTATGTAATTCCTCACCGTCTCTACCCGACGTTTGGAAAGTGCCAACGGATTCAAACTTTCTAGAAAAAAACAAACAAACAAACAAACAAACAAACAAAAAAACAAAAACAAAAACTTAAGCCAAGGACAGGTTAGCCTGCATAACTGAGGCGCTTTATGAGCCAAGCGAGACGAACGAAGTATTTTGCACGAAGTGCGAAATGAGTGCGAAGCGAAAAACGAAGGGAGGAGAAAAATGAAGCGCCTGTTACCAGTCCATTGTTCTGGCTCTTCCGCCCACCTATGCCCACAAGTAGTAATACTGCGATCGCTGGAAAGTGGTTTCCATATGATCGCTATGATCGCTGCGATGCGATCGTAGCTAATTTAAAGTTAGTAAATCAGGCTTTTTCCTGACCTAGTTGGAAGCAATCCGAGAACATCTTTCCTCTTAAGCAATAAATTTAAACATTTGTTTTGTTTTTCTTTTGTTTCTGGAACATTTGGAAATAAAAGAAAGGCTTCTCGAACAGCGTCGTCAAAAGAACATGAATGCGTGACGTAACGGTTATTTTTTTCCAGGAAACATGCCAGACAAACATGCCAAAACAACGCGTTCAGCAATCAAACCAACCGGAACGTAACTTTCGTGCAGTGAACGTGGGAAGAGTCAGAACAGTGGACTGGTAACAGGCGCTTTATATTTCTCCGCCCCTCGTCTCGTGCATCGCACTCGTTTCGCACTTCGCGCAAAATGCCGCTAGAGGCCTGTCGATATACGGTAAGGTGACAATAATCAAATCTTTTCTTATCCCTAAAGTACATTTACATTTGTTCGATCCTTCCAACTCCCAAGGAATTGCTAAAAGAATTGAATAAAATACTGTTTAAATTTCTCTGGAAAGGTGTAGATAAGGTAACAAGAGCTTCAGTTATAAACGAATACGAAGAGGGAGGGCTAAGAATGGTTGATCTTGAGTGCATGTTAAATCATTGAGATTAGCTTGGTTAAAACGTATCTTTAATGGGACTAATGGAACTTGGAAAAGCTACCTGCTACACATACTGAGCTCCGTTGGGGGATTGTTGTTTTTTAACTGCAACTACAATATCTCGGATTACACAACTGATTTCCTCTCAATTTTTTCAGGAACTTTTGTTATGGTGGTCGCAATTTCGTGAAACGTTTGCCACTGAAGAAGATTGGAAAACCATAATCTGAAATAACAAAGAAATAAAAGTAGAAAACATGCCGGTTTATTATAAACATTATGTTAATGCGAGAGTCATTTGCATTCAAGATCTTTTATGTAGTCTGAACAGTACTGATTCTTATAATCAACTGTCTAAAAGAATATGCAAAACAAATATTTTAGAATGGGCTGGCTTACGTAGGTCCATTCCATTATCGTTAAGAAGTTATGACAGGTATCCTTCCATAAACTCTCCAACATTTGTGGTGGGTGACAATAATTTTGATGTTACGAAAGGGAAATCAAAGGATTACTACAACCTACTTATCAGAGAAAAATTAAAGCTAAACGGCCCAATATTATTCAAAAATTACAGAGTAACTTTCATTTTAACAGCGACAATCTGAAGCAAATATTTAAGCTGCCACACTCTATTGTTATCGAATCGTATGTTAAAGCCTTCCAGTGCAAAGTAATTAACTCAATTCTTTACACAAATACAAAGTTGTATAAAATAGGTTTTAAAACAAATGATTTCTGTACTTTCTGTGATAATCAACCTGAATCATTAACTCATTTGTTCTATCACTGCTCACGCTCTAAACAGTTTTGGATTGAATTTGAACTATATTGGTGCCTTATTTCGAATCAACGAATTCGTCTCTGCTTGCAAAATGTGCTCTTTGGAATTTTGACGGAAAATGCTTGCCCTTTACTTCAATTGCTGAACTATTTTATAATTATTGGAACACTCGAATTTGTGGGACTGTAGGAGCAAACAAATCCTTCCAAACATTCATGGATTTAGAGCCAAGATCATCGCTAAATATGAAACAGAAGAAAAAATCAGCAACAAAGAATTTTTTAAAAGTAAGTGGATACTGACGCCTTATTTAAGTTAACTGTATTAACTCCGTATTATTTCATTGCCCTGTTGTACTTTTTTATAATTTCTTTTAGCCCTGTAATAATTTAACAATTAATTTTGCATTACTCTGTTAATGTCTATTGTTAAAGTGTTTTTTTTTTTGTAGTATTGTAAATGTAATTATTTAATGTGATTATCAATAAATATATTAAAAAATNACCGGAACGTAACTTTCGTGCAGTGAACGTGGGAAGAGTCAGAACAGTGGACTGGTAACAGGCGCTTTATATTTCTCCGCCCCTCGTCTCGTGCATCGCACTCGTTTCGCACTTCGCGCAAAATGCCGCTAGAGGCCTGTCGATATACGGTAAGGTGACAATAATCAAATCTTTTCTTATCCCTAAAGTACATTTACATTTGTTCGATCCTTCCAACTCCCAAGGAATTGCTAAAAGAATTGAATAAAATACTGTTTAAATTTCTCTGGAAAGGTGTAGATAAGGTAACAAGAGCTTCAGTTATAAACGAATACGAAGAGGGAGGGCTAAGAATGGTTGATCTTGAGTGCATGTTAAATCATTGAGATTAGCTTGGTTAAAACGTATCTTTAATGGGACTAATGGAACTTGGAAAAGCTACCTGCTACACATACTGAGCTCCGTTGGGGGATTGTTGTTTTTTAACTGCAACTACAATATCTCGGATTACACAACTGATTTCCTCTCAATTTTTTCAGGAACTTTTGTTATGGTGGTCGCAATTTCGTGAAACGTTTGCCACTGAAGAAGATTGGAAAACCATAATCTGAAATAACAAAGAAATAAAAGTAGAAAACATGCCGGTTTATTATAAACATTATGTTAATGCGAGAGTCATTTGCATTCAAGATCTTTTATGTAGTCTGAACAGTACTGATTCTTATAATCAACTGTCTAAAAGAATATGCAAAACAAATATTTTAGAATGGGCTGGCTTACGTAGGTCCATTCCATTATCGTTAAGAAGTTATGACAGGTATCCTTCCATAAACTCTCCAACATTTGTGGTGGGTGACAATAATTTTGATGTTACGAAAGGGAAATCAAAGGATTACTACAACCTACTTATCAGAGAAAAATTAAAGCTAAACGGCCCAATATTATTCAAAAATTACAGAGTAACTTTCATTTTAACAGCGACAATCTGAAGCAAATATTTAAGCTGCCACACTCTATTGTTATCGAATCGTATGTTAAAGCCTTCCAGTGCAAAGTAATTAACTCAATTCTTTACACAAATACAAAGTTGTATAAAATAGGTTTTAAAACAAATGATTTCTGTACTTTCTGTGATAATCAACCTGAATCATTAACTCATTTGTTCTATCACTGCTCACGCTCTAAACAGTTTTGGATTGAATTTGAACTATATTGGTGCCTTATTTCGAATCAACGAATTCGTCTCTGCTTGCAAAATGTGCTCTTTGGAATTTTGACGGAAAATGCTTGCCCTTTACTTCAATTGCTGAACTATTTTATAATTATTGGAACACTCGAATTTGTGGGACTGTAGGAGCAAACAAATCCTTCCAAACATTCATGGATTTAGAGCCAAGATCATCGCTAAATATGAAACAGAAGAAAAAATCAGCAACAAAGAATTTTTTAAAAGTAAGTGGATACTGACGCCTTATTTAAGTTAACTGTATTAACTCCGTATTATTTCATTGCCCTGTTGTACTTTTTTATAATTTCTTTTAGCCCTGTAATAATTTAACAATTAATTTTGCATTACTCTGTTAATGTCTATTGTTAAAGTGTTTTTTTTTTTGTAGTATTGTAAATGTAATTATTTAATGTGATTATCAATAAATATATTAAAAAATAAATAAATAAGTAAATAAATGCCGCGTCCGCCTCGCTTGGCTCATAAATCGCCTGCTATTATGTTATGCAGGCTAGAGACGGATAATAAGATTTCAAATGTCCTGGGCTTTAAATTTGAAGCTACAAACAGAGAGATGAACTTTTGAAAACTGTTAAGTTTTTCTTGAATCTAAAATCATCTCAGTTCGGTCAAAGGAATATGTACAGGGATATTCAATTGGCTTAGAATCTGGCCGTTAAGCGCCATTTATTATGCATAGTTGTTTCGACTCCATTCATGTGAAACAGTATGAGATTGCTATATGCATAATCGATTTATGGGGCTGCACTGAAATCTCACCAAAAGTTCGTAGTGGTGCTGCTCACGGTTTCAATCTTGAGAAAAATTTGAACACATGTGTTGTTGAATATAATACATTTTCCGATATCACTGCGAAAATTGTATAGGGTTTCTTTCAGTGTCTTCGAATTATTTCCATTATCCAAACTACATTGAATAACTTTGGCTATTTTGCATTACACTGACAAACAACTTCTTAATTTCACCAAGGTATGTATCAGCGACGCCATGTGAAGTATCCCTTCTCCAGAACGCCAGTCCTGCCTGCGAAGTGTCGAGAAACGCTGCCTTAAATCAGAACAAGAAGATCTGGACCTTAAAACATGATCCAGATTCACATGGCTTTGCCTTACTGAACATGACCTCTGAGCAGCTGGGAGCTATTGCTTTGCAAGATCCCTTTATACGATACTACGCTTCGGCATATCTTCAAACCACGCAAGCAAGCAGGAAATCCTCTGCCTTGTACATAAATACAACCGCTGGTCAGGAAATCACGGAACTATCGGAATATCTGAAGTTGTCAGCGTTTTTTCAGTCGGCTCTAGAACCTGCAATTGGCGTAAGTATATTGTTTTGTTATTCAAAGACCGAGTTCAACTGCATAAAACCTTAAGTCAGATATAACTGCCAACGTCTGACATTCAGTCAAGAGTGAACGGGCCTGAATGTCAGGTTATATGCGCAGGTGATGTAATAAATCTGATATTTGAATTTTAAAATCACCTCCGTGACGTCAGTGTATTGCTAGAGTAAACTGATGTTTTAGTGGCCAACTTAGTTGACGCAAACAATATCGTGTTCCTTTGCTCAGTGAGAATTTTCGAATTCAAAACACTCTTTGTCCATGCAAATTCTATGCAAAGAAAGTAATGTATTGTTTTGTCAATTGCGCATGACTAGCCCACCATCGCTGTGTTCCCTGATTGTATATGTTAAATTTCCTGTCGTAAATTGTAACGGTCGTGCCATTATTACGAAACGTGGTTTTCTTTTCTTTTGAGGCGATGAAAATTAATGACAGTTAAGTCAGTATCAAAACAAAAGAAACATTCTTAGCCCAGCATCAAACTCAAGTCCTTCTACAGTGTATTCCTCCATGCAACAAGCCTTCCAGATGACACCAACACCACCACACACCGTTCAAACCTGAAAACTGAAATCCACTTTTAAATTAGTTTCCTGAGTTTCTTTCTTAACCTTGAATTACAAAATTAGAGCGGTTTACTATATGATGACCCCGTCTATTTACGGATGAGAAATAGGAAAGGCTTGTTTTTTTTTCTTTCTATTATAAAGCGAACGTCGATCTATTTTCGAAAACGTGGTATAAGGGATAACGCCCGAGTTCAGACAGATTAGAGATGGTAGAATTTATCGCCTTGCAGTTCCCGTCCTCAAAAAAAAAAAAAACTTAAAATTTGGTCATTTCACGTTGTAGTCGTGCAGGGACGGCCAGGAAATGTACAAAAAAGCATGATGCACAAGCAAAGTTGTTTTTTTTTGCTTACTAAACCTATTGCTCTTTGACGCTGCCGTTGCCGTCGCCGTCGCAGTTACGTAAGGTCCCTTTTGCCTCTTTGACGGAGACGACGAAAACTAATTTTCAATTGGGCTGTGCCGGCGGTCCAATAATCAGACAGCAAATAGACTTTGATATTTGTTACCATTAGGAGTATGCTCGGCAGCCATCACCATATGAAGCCTTCGTCGACAATAAGCCCGAGTGGATAAGCGACAAGCACTTTACTCAGCAACGCCTGGCAGGTCCCAATCCCATGTCGCTAAAGCGGGTGACAGTTCACGGACAAGGTACGTCTCTGCCTACGCGACCAATTGTAGCTCTTAAACAAAGTGTATCTTCAAATCTCTTCTCAAAGGGTAATTAATTTTCTGCGTACAGGACGTTCAAACGATGTGGGTACTCTAAAAGTTACCTTTCAGTAAAGGGATAGAGATGGAAAAATTTAATCGTCAGAATAACTCAGTGCCAATGAAGTTAGCAAATCAAATGGTAATCGGAGACTTGCTTTCAACACACTTAAACTTTATAAGGAACGTATTATAGGACATCCTATTAGGTATAAGGTACTTTCAGTTAGGTATTGTTATAAATGGAATGATCGGGGTCTATTTCTTTAAACTTGCTCAATCAATCTGACTCGGTTGTTGAAACAAAGAAGGAATTCAAAATTTATCCGTCGTCTGTAAAATCAGGTCATGTTTGATCGTTTCTCCAAGCAGGCAAGATAGATCCATCTCATCTGCTGGAGATCTCCCGCTTTTGTCCCACAACTGGAGAAAAAAAGATCTGTTTAGTTCTGTTTACCATCATAAACCCTTCATTAATCAAGCTTGACAGGTTAAAATGGCAAGATATTGGCCTCGTTCTCTTTTTTGCAAATTTCTTATTGACCACAACTGGATCGGTCATGCCCATTTGAAAACGCAAAAAACCGAGCTTGACCAATATCTTGGTCATCGTAACCTTATTCGCTTGAATTGTACAATAACACATATATTATAATGCTACCTTAATTTATTTATTTCGTGTAGAAAAGAGGCAATGCACAGTAAAAACGACTGACGGAAGATGGTGCCATTTTCCGTTTACTTATCGTGGTAAAGTCTATCATAAGTGTACAACTAAACACTATCATAGACGTTGGTGTTCAACGAGTCCGAAATATATCTCCAAAAGTAATTCTGGAAGATGGGGAAACTGTCAAGGTGACAAAAGAAACGTTGTTAATTGTTACTCTATTTTCTTCGGTTGCTACTCATTTATATTTCATAATATTTAATTTGTATTACGCCTCCCTCTTCTTTAGGTAATGAAGAACAGGGAATGGGTAAGTTCAATTTGTTTATTTTACTGGTTAGTGGTAAGTGCTAATAAATAGAGTTACAAACCAAGCAGGTGTCCCAAAATAATAGTGTGGGAGCTGAGTGCCTCATTCTACTGAGCCATACTGTTAGGGGCACCCAACGACTGCTTTCTGTAAAATAACTGTTCTGAGAAACAAATATTGCTTAAAATTTTCTATTACCCGAGGAGAGCTAAAGACTGGCTAAAAGTTCCAGATGACCGTTCCATTCATGTACAATTTTCGAAGCTTTTCTAATAAATTCGCTACAATTTTCTGAAGTTTAATTTTCACATCTCACTTCCCAAGTTAGTCTATTTTTCGTACAAAAAGGGAAACCAAAAATTTTCGGATTCAAAAATGCGATGGAGAGAGGAATCAGAAAATTTCTCACTTTCGTAATATGTCAAATTGCATCTAAAATTTTCGGGAAAATAATACTCAAGCGCTTGTAATTTCGAAAAGACGTAAGTTGCCCTAAGATGACAAAACAGATACAAATTTTATAGCGCTGCTTAGAATGCATTTCTAGAGATCTAAGCTAAAGCACTCTGGATAGCCTAAAAAGTGTTTTCAATGCATTTAGGAGGAAACCGCCGTTTTGTGCCCCTGTACTGTGCTTCTTCCTTTTCATCAAGTATTTGTTGATGCTACCAAGTATATTATTGGCTCAAAAAATGTAGTACTCTAAATATTTCTATTTCATTCTAAAGCCATGTTTGACAGGAATTTGTTTGCCTACAAATAAAAAATGTTTAATATGTCTCTTAGTCACTGAATGAGTTTTATTAGTTTGCTAAGAAGGGAACTGACTCCTCTTCACCAATTCAGCTTCAACATATGTTATTCAGCAGGGAAGGGCTGTTTGCAGGGTCCTAATTATTGATCAAAAGAATATCACAAGATAACTCGGACAATTACTAGCCGGAAAATCACTAGCTGGGATGTTACTTGCCGGATTATTACTACAGCTGTAAAACTACTAGTCACGAGCAAAAGAGGAGCTTTTTTTATTTTTTATTTTATTTATTTTATTATTTTTTGTTAATTTTTCCTTTATTTTTTGCACAAGCACTACAACATCTATACCAATAAAATACTACTACAAGTACACAAAATACACTTCCTACTATACATAAATAATGGCTGACACAAAGACTGTTTAGGTACAATTACTAC